AGGGGCAGTGAGGATAAGGGCTTCTCTGGTAAAGAACTGTTTTTTTTGTTATCCTTCTAATCTGTTGGCTCCTTAAGAAGGATACTGTCTCTTGGCAGAAGAACAGAAATCTTGGCAAAGCCAGCTGTAGGCCAGGAGTCACGGCCTTCTCGGGGCACCACTGCAGATTGGCCTTGTAACCAGCCATTAGGTGCATCTACACTGACCTCTAAGACACACCCATCCTTTAAAAGAAGCTGGTGATTCTTTGGGATCGTCCAGCTGAGACAGCAGGCAGACCATGGCCTGATCACGACCAGCCATGTCTGCCTCCTATGACACAGTCTCCATCCACATGTTGTACCACACGCTTCATAAAATACCAGCTATGTGCAACAAAATCTGACTAGAACTTGTCTAGAATATAACATGGCACCAATCCCATTTCCCAGGCCTACTCCTATAAAGGGATAATATCTTCAAAGAAACTAATAAAAATACATCCATCATATTCTGTGGTTAAAAAGGTGTAATGCACAGCACAAAGAAATAGAATTTCTTACAGTAATCCACATGTGAATTATGGAAAACAGAACAGTCTATTTCACAAAACTGAACTTCTCAGGAATTGACTATGATTTTGAGATTCAAAGCAGTAACATCTTATTTAGAAAATAGGGGAGCATTTGGATTAAATTCACTTAGGAAATAAGAGTATTAAGTAAGTGGTTTCTTTTTCCCAAGGAAAAAAAGTAAATGATAAAATACACCTAAAATTTTGAAAAAAGTCTTGATGAATTCAGTCAGGGAATTTATTGAAATAGATATGAAGACATGTTAGAAAATGACAGTAATGAAACAGACTGGTTTTTCCCAAGAATAAACAAACAAAATAAGTGGTACAATGCTGTATGGAAGGATTACCCTTTTAGTAAACAATGCTGGATATCCATACAGGAAGAAAACAAAAAAGAACTCTGGTAAATAGCTTATATCAAATGAATAATCCATTAAGATGGATCAGACACTTAGTATGACAGGTAAAAAAATAAAGCTTTATGAAGAAAACATAATTTTCGGGGGGGTGGGGGATTCATTAATTCAGGGTAGACAAATTTTCCTAAATAGGATATAAATGGGAAAAAATTCATATATTGGATTTCCTTAAAGTTAAAAACTTTTATTCATCATAAGGCACCATTAAGAGAATAATAAAAAAAGCAAGCCACAATATAGGAGAAGATACTTACAATACATTTATCTGACAAAGAACTGGTATCCTTCATATATAAGGAGCTCCTACAAATCAATAAGAAAAAGACAGCCAACCCAACAGGAAAGTAGCCAAGCAGAACAGAAACATCACAAAGATATCAAAATGGTAAGTTAGTCAGTAGGAACATCCCAATTAAATTACAATGAGACACACACACCATCAGAGTGGCTAAAACATAAGACGGAGAAAAGCCAAGTGCTAGAGAGGATGTTGGGCAACTGGAACTCTTGCACAGATGGTGAAGGGAGGTGTGGAATTCTGCAATCACTTCGGAAAACTGGCAGGATTGAGCTCAAACTGCAGATATGCACATTGTAGGACCTAGAAATGCAATCCCTGTGCACATACCCACAGAAATGCACCAACTCATGCACACAGAATGTTCATAGAAGTTTTATGCATGGCAACTCAGCGGGACGAACACAAATGTCAAGGGTATTAGAATGGATAAATAAAATGGGGCTAATTCTTACAATGGGATACTAGTCAGTCACATCAAAAAGGAACTGCTTCTGTTTCCAGCATGGATGAGTCTCAGAGGTACACTGCTCAGCATGGAAGCCACACAGCAAAGGCACCTCCCGTGTTATCTATCCATTTACATAGTAACATCGAAACCCAGGTAATACTACTCTGCAGTGACAGAAATTAAAGGTACTGGTTACTTATGGCAGAGGGCAGCCTGCCTGGCAGGGGTAATGGGGAAGTTCCCAGAGGGCTGGAAACACTCCTGGTTGGCATAAGTAGTGGTTACATTCCCATCCTGTAAGAAGCCTTCCTTCTGGCTGGGACACAGGCACTCATCATTCATGGTTTAATTCCAAGAATAAGCCAGAGAAGCTACCAAATCACAGATTCTGCAGCTCTAAGAAAGCTGACAACACAATGAGGCTTATGAATAAAATGAGGGTCTGACAAACGCTTTCTAGGAGAAAGAAGACCTGTAGCTGCTTTTGGCCTTGGAGGAGTGGAAGAAAGGAATTGGCTGTAAAAGGCGTCAGGACAGATCATCCAGACTTTCAGGGAAAGTTTATTGGTAGTGCCTGGACAGGCTGGGTGGGTTCACACCTTGAGGGGACTTGCATCCACCCTTCAACGCTTCCCCACACCCTTTACCTCGTGCCGGAGGGAGCATGCCAAAGGTTGGGTGCAGCACCCAAAGGCAGGCATGCTGAGAAGGTCTGAATTTGCTTATTTCCAAAAACAGATGGCAGTGTGAAAGCAGAGACAGACATTCATTCGGATGCTTTTGTAGGACAGTAATGATTCTAACTTGAGTTAAGACGGTGGCCTTCATCATAGAGAGCAAATGGATTTTATGAACCACATTATGGGGAGGGGAGACAAAACTCCTGGTGTAGCATTCCTACACTGCATATTTTATCCTGCTATCATGAGGGAAAAAATAGAATGAAAAATCCATTCTGTAATTTTGTCACAATTTTCTGTAATGAGAACTGCAAATGGAAATTCTAACACAACCAGAGATGAAGGCTTTTGATCTAGACTAACATGCCACCAAAAGCTATAAAAAGGATGCCTACAAAAAGAGGCCACAAAATAGGAAGACCAGTACTAAATAAAGAAGTTAGACTACAGGGGACAATCAGAGAAAATTCTAGAATAACCTTTGGACAATTGGGGAATTGGGCAGGAAGCAAAACATTCATGCCCAAGAGTTTATCTAGGGGCAAAGAAAACTTCAGAGGTCAGAAAAAGGAGACTTTAAAGATTTATGATGGTAATTTTAATAAATCTTCCAAAAGCTTTATTTTACCATTTGATCTCAAGCATCAGTCTAACTGGATAAAGTCAATAAATGTAGTCTTCCCTAAAATAACTACAATAAAACCTTACGAAACAGCTTCTAAAGGGATTGGTGGGGAGTGGGGAGGAAGAGCCAGATCAAGGGACATCAAGCATCCTGTTTGCACTCTATGATGCTGAGAACTATCTTGGTTCTTGCCTCTGGGCCTCCAGTTTTATGCAGTGTCCAGGCTGACTGGTGGCCTTCCCGGTATTAACCATTTTTACTGAAGCTTCATTGAGTTAGGTTTAGGTTTATGCTTAGAAAATTATGCACAGTGACATAGAAGATAAAATACTGAAAGAAGATTTATGAGATAATGTGATCGATATACATTTTTTTATCTTGAATATAGCTCAGTAAAGTGAAAGGATAGATTAATTAAGGATTAAGCCAAACATGAATTTTAATATCCAAAGACACTTATAAGCAAGAAATCCTGGGGTATATTTATAGAGTCACTTTAATTAGTCAGTATTCAAAACAGCTTTACACACGAGTCAAGTTTTCAACAGATTTTAATACACATCTCTTCTAAATTAGAGAGTTGAGGTATTGCAAACCAAGGAATCTGAAATCAGAAGATAGGGGCTTGAGTTCTGGCTCTGAAGTTACAGACTGAGAGCAACAAGCAGCTTGATGAAAATGTTAAATGGAAAACTAACGGGCTGCCATCAAGATTAAACACAACAATTGATATGAAGGCGTCTGGTGAAACAGAAAGTGATGTATTATTTCCTCAGAGGAGTAAAGAGAGGAAAGGAAATAGGCTCATGAAAACTTGCTCTTATTCAAGTGAAAGTCTTATCGCTAATGCCTACATATATACTTAAGACAGGGCACTTTTGAAGCTACTGCTAATGACCCAAGACCAAAGGATTCTGGGTTCTTTTTCTGACTGTTACCCCTGAAGTTTGCATTGTATCAGAGAAGTCAGAGTGATTTTTTGTGGATTACATTAATATCTTGCAAATAATTTTGAGAGGAGCTATATATCAGAGGAGTTAGTTTAGGCTGTGGTGTCAGACAGACTTGGATTCAAATCCTGCATCTATCACTTGTTGCTTGTTCACAAGACTCCAACTATCCTTAGACTCTGTTTTGTATCACAAAAGTGGAGGTATTCTCAGAATATCACACATTTTAAAGGTTTAAAGATAACAGCATTCAATGTGCTTAGAAGAATGCCTGATATGTAAGTACAGATCATATAACTGTTCGCTATGACAGTATCTAAATTTTCTTCCAAGATGATAAAGATCTTCATTTTCCACCCATTGGTGATTCTTATTCTTGAACAGATCTTTACATACACAGCAATACAGAAGCTCACATCACTTTATAATCAGATGGGAATTTGTATATTTATTGAGCAACTCGTATGAGCTGAGTACCATGACAGACACTAGGCTATAAAATTATTGTCTCTAACTTCAAATATTTCTCATGAATATATAACTCTTGAGGGAAGATATTTGTTGGCTATGCCTGCCTCTTTATCCTAATGATTCAAACAATGACTAGAATATTGAATTTCCTTTGTAAGTATGTTCATGGAAAGGTCTAATGTGTTTCCTGACACCCATATGAATATTTAAATCCCACTGTAGAACCTACTTACACTTTAGATACTTAAGAAAAACTGTAAAAAAAAAAAAGCTTTTATTAATGTAACTGTAATCAGAATTGGGTTTAAACCCTAACTCTTTGAAACAATGTTAATGATTTTCTACAAAATAAATACACTGACATTTGGCACTTAGAAAAAACGGTCAAGAAATGTGCACACATCGGGAATAATTCACCAAGTGTCAGACAGTGTGAGACACAGAATAGGAAACTCACTAGCATTTCCTTACTGAATATAGTAACACTTGTCCTATGATTTAAATTACATGATTGTAAGATTTCGTTTTAAAAGTTCACAATAGGGCTCACCTGGTCTTCTTCTCCTCCCCCTTCTTCATCGTATTTTAAAATGTTATCTCGTACATCATCTTCAGGGTCGATTAAAAGCTGCTTGGCCTGGCGTTCTTTATCCCGGCGTTTCATCCACACCACAAACATCAGAACAAGGACTGAAGAGCAAAAGAGCAAAAACATAAAGGTCATCATTTTTCAAACTTGAGCTATCGAATCACAGTTTTTAACATGAATACCTCAGATGGGTCAAAAGCTTGTAGTGCATCCCCCACTCTTACCTATCTCAGGATTCACATGGAGAGAAACAAGAACATGTCAGGCCCAAGCCCTGGGTGTAGACTGGGAAGACCTGGGTACTGGGACCTGGTGCCCTGTGAGCTCATGGCATGAACATCTGTCCTCAGTTACATCTACAAATGGGGACAATAACTCTTTTTGTCTCTTCTTTGCCTTGCTAGGGGATGGAATACTCTTCACATAGCGGTTTGTTTTCAAACAACAAACAACAGTAAGTTAAACTGTTATTTGTTACTTAACTGCTGTTTCCTTCCGGTTGGTCGGTCATCAGAGAGCAGGCACTTCTACAGGGGGGCTGACTGGAAATGGATGGACAACTGGGTCCTGAGGATTTCTGACTCCCAAATGCTGGTGTTTTTCTACTGCACCAGTCTGCATTCCCTTTCCTACTAGACTGCACGTTTCAATAAGGAGGCTAGGGGACTGGTTTGAACCCTGAAATAATATCAGGCTTTTTGTGCCAGGTCTAGAACAATAAATTTTCTAGAAGGTTGATGATAAAAACAGCATCAATTCATTTTCCTTCAAAATGCTATAGCCACTTCTTCATGCCATACTCCATCACATATCTAAGTCTTCCTGGATAAAGTTCTTGTATATGTCACATTTTAGTTGAAATTGAGACATGTCCCTAAGTGCACATCTAGAGTGCATTCTCACTAAAATCTGAGGATATCACTTTACATCCTGAAGCAAAAGATTTAATGACTCCTATTTGAGCACATTTTTATTATTGGCCATAAAAGTAAATATCCTACTTTTAAAGCCAGATACATGATCTCATTTGCCATTGTTCCAGGGCTAAATCTAGCAAGTGGGTTATTAGTATAGCATGCAGGTTTCGAATTATAGTCAAAGTAGTCTCCACGCAGGAAGTAAAAAATGCTCAGGCTTCTATAGTAATTGCTTAGAATAAAGGGACAGAATTCTAAATTACCAGAACACTTGTAAATGGAGAAAGCATAAAAGAAATGCCAACATTTTCAAGAAAGTGATTGGTGCATAGCATGATTGCACAATAAACTAAGTCCTGCTGCTGCTCCACAGTAAAACACAGGGCCCAGGCAATTTATCCTTTTAACCTGCATGCTTAAACGTGGTTCCTAAAGTACTTTCCAATGGTTAATTTCTTGCATTCCACTGAACCAAAGATAGGAAAGTATCTTAAAAAGGAGCAATTCCTTAATTTAGACTTGCTCTAAAGACAGATAATTTATTGAGCTGTGTCATCATTTCCATTATCAAGTGTGCTGTATGAAGAACAGTCTTCTCAACTATTTTACGCAGCCTAAGAAACAAACATCTTGATCTCTGCATGACTGGAGCAGGCTGCTGACTGTGCTTTACATGAAGGAAAGCGAAGGAAAGCAATATACTTATTTTCTTGAATCATCAACTACATGCCATAAATTCACAGTCATGTCAGAAGATAAGGGCTCAAGCTCAGGCCCGCCTGACATTTTTCTAGGAAAGGAGTTTGCTCCAGCTCCCCAAGCCATCTGTATCAGGAAACAGCAACAGGCCTGGGACAGGTGAGGCGCACTGGCTGGGTTTGCCACAGATACGTACGTGCTTGGGCTGATGCTCAGGGTGTTCCTCCTAAAGTGGACTGGGCTAACCCATCTATGCCTGGCAAGAAAACACTTGGAGATCAGACAGTTGTTAGCATATTTTGAAAGTTCCTTTGCTAAACCTTCTGGAAAGGAAAAGAATCGTCATCTTGGCGACCGTGGTGGTACTCACTCAGCAGGATGATGATGCAAAGCAGGATGGCGATGATAGCGCCGGTGCCAAGCCCCGCGCCCACGATCCTGTCCACATCCGTGCAGTCCCCATTGGAGTCACACTGGCAAACCTTCACTCGAAGGATGGAAATATTTGATTTAGGAGGATTACCCGAATCTGTGATTATGATGGGAACTTCATATATCCCAGCTTCAAGAAATTTGATCTTTAAATTAAGCTGAGCAAAATCACCTAGAAAAAGAAAAAAAAAACCCATTTGATAGTTAATACATCATACAATGAAAAATACCCATAGTATTTTCTAGAATGTATTTATTTCCTATGAGGTCTATATTAAGCCATTCCCACAGTGCTGCATCGTGAAGACTTTTTTCAGCCTTCAGGGCTTTTAATATCTTACTTAAACTTTAAGCTGCTTTTAAAATATAGTTAATGAAAAGATTATAAAGCACCTAAAATTAACTTTTCGTATCAAGCTTCAAAACCTCTCAACTGCACATATATTCAAATAATTAACCTCTTCTTACCATTAAGCCGAGTGATGGTCCAATTTCTCTTAATAGTCACTGGAGACAAAGGAAGATCAAAAGCAAATGGCCCAGCATTTGGATCAATGTCATAATCAAGTGCTGTGATGTTAATTGAATTGGGGTCTGGAGTTTCACAGGTCTCTGCCTCTTGAGGTAACACTTGAGGGGCATTGTCATTAATATCAAGTAAATAGATCTGCAGCGTTCCGGTTCCACTCATAGGAGGAATTCCTTAAAGGGAGAAAAAAAATCACAGACTGATGCTGAACAATTCTTTCCCGTGAGTGTCAATTATGGTGAAATTCCCCCAAACTTCTGGCCTCTTTGTCCTTATCACTGCATAACTCTGGAAAAATTTAGCTGCCACAGCACCTGGGCAGCCTGTTTTCGGAACAAGGCCACTCCGGGCTTCCTCTATGGGGTGACCCAGGGCTGTCAGTGTGCAGGGGCTGAGCACTGACAGGAGACGAGTGCGATTCTGCACCTTCCCGCCCTGCCGGGTTACACTGGGCCCAGCTCACACCATGATCCTCCAAGCACTGTGGGGACACACGGGAGGCAGAGCAGCATCGTGACCTTGTGGCCCTGATGCTTTTGATGGTAAGACATGTGCACAAGACACATAAGAATGCCTTTAAAGCTCAAGCACAGCCATGAAATTTCCAAACAGTCTGGACAAGCAAGACAGACCTGTAGGCCTCATCTGGGGGAGGAATGCCATGGAGAAGAGAAATGGTATTTGAGATAAACCAACTACCTGCTTGAGAAACTGTTAGGTGGCTCTAGCATCATTTCATTATAATCCTATGAATGAGGTTTACATAGATGAGGGACCTAAGACTTTGCAAACTGCTCGTGGCCACGCACTCTTTTATGTGCTGGGGTTGCTATTAAAATTGGTCTGCCTGACAGGCTGGTCCCAAACCCATTCTCACTCTACTATAAAAACCATTTCTACCACTTCTTGTGATAATTTAGTCTGGTGATTTGACCTCTGCTATCTTAGATATATTTATAATAAAGTAAATATAAATATATACAAATATATAAAATAAAATGTAAGTATATAGTGGAAATATGCAATCTTATTATATATAAATATGTGATAGGGTTATGTTATTTAATTATATAATGTATATTACATAAATATGACAGAAATATAAAAATTTTCCAAATAATCATACTGAGACTCAGAGATTTAAGTGACCTGCCCAAGAACATGCCACTAGGAAGGTGCACACACACTCTGTGGGCCTGTCTGAGAACTGTGGATGGTTCTGGGAGCAGGGACAGTCAGCTGGAGGGGGAGCATGGCTGTCAACAATATTCCACTATCACCAGGACCACTTTACGCCAGAGTTTGAGCAACTTGCATATGTATCATCACATTTAATGTTATCTGACTCTAATAACATCTTCATAGACTCAGTACACAGCAAACACGACTGATCAGTGACGAAGTGAAGGCAGAGGAGTGGCTCCACCATTAAGAACTGGGGCTCCAGAGCCAGCCTTGCGAGTTGAGGTCAAGTGCACGTGCCAAGTGTCACAGTTACCTAGATTCAGCCACTTACTTCGCTCTTGTAGCACCCTCTCAATTAGAAAAAAATCCACCTTGGTGAATGACAGACCTGGGTGTAACTCACAACCAACATTCATGCATGTAATTTTATAGCTCTTTAAATCTCAACATAATCGTCAAGACATATTACTTTATTTCCCACTCTAGGGGAAAGCTAAAGCTTATATACAGCGAGAAAGCATAAAACAGACCCCAATGCCGTGCCTCTGATGTGCAATGCCTGAAACTGTTCCTACCAAATTTCAACTCTAAATATTTAAACAGTAGGTATGATATTAGAAAGGATAAGAAATATTGCATTGGTCCTGTCGCCAAATAGATTTATGATAAATAATAATCTCATTGAATCTTATTACATGCGATTTGGAAAGTTGCGTTTAAACTGTTCTTATCAAAAGTGTTGACAGACAACATTCTTCAAAATGCACATCTTGGCCACCAAACTGAAGCCTGCTATTTGTATTGGATGCTAACATTTATCATTGAATATTAACCGAGTTTCAAATATGGTTTTGATTCAGTGCTGAAACTATTAACATAACAAATATTTATTTGAGTGTTTAAGTTTGTGCCAGGCCATGTTTTAAAAGCTTTATGTGTACAAACCATTTTATCTTCCCCAATAAACTATGAGTGAGGTACTGCTACCATTATCCCTATTCAACAGAGAAAGGAAATGGACAGATGTAAAACCCTGTTGCCAATCCCACAGTTAGCAAGTGGTAGAGCTGGAGTCTCGACACAGGGGGTCAGGTAGACCTGAATGCAGAGTTTGCACTGTTAAACACATCATAGTGAGGGCTCGCAGAGCAAAACATACCCTTTACAGGCTTAAAGAAGTCATTCTGTCTAACTACAAAAAAGTGCTATCCATTAATCTCAACCATTTAGGAACCAGCAGAGACCCAGAAAGGAAACCCAAAGTGCTAAACTATCCGTTCCAAAACCAGCACAAGCTTGTGTACTCACATATTTCAATTTATGCATGAAATTAAGAGTATCCTAGTCCATGGCAGATTAGAGGCAGAGAATTAGAAAGAAGAAAAATTCTGAGACAGTCAAGCTGATGGCCACAAAGAGACTGGCTAGGAGAAATATAAAAAGACCACTTTGAAAATAGTGTCTGGGCCATTGAGGCATTTAGAATAGACTCCATCTGCAATAATAAGGCATCCATGGGTAGCAGGGAAGAAAAACTACAGAGTCTCATAATCACAATACTGGGCTACCATGGAGGGGCATGGGCCTTGGGCACATTCATTAAGGAAGACGTGCCCTGCATGTCATAGAAAGCCCAGTGGAAACAGAAACAGAAGTGGGGGCCTTAGAGCAGTAAGGGTCAGTTTTCTAGACAGTTCAGTTTCGTAGAACACCTTATATCCCGATGATGCACACGTGATCAGGCTCTGCTCTCTTTAACAACGTACAGGATAACATAGTGACTATATTTAATTACATACCATTGTCAGAAGCAAGGAAAGTAGCATTATATATATTGTTTTTCACATTTGGTGATTCTCTGTCCACAACAGCAATTGTAGTTATTTGCCCATTCACAGGATCTATTTTTAACCAATTGGCAGGATCAGATAATTTTGTGTATCTACAAAATGAAAGTGCAGTGAGTTTAAATTTTTTGATATGATGCTTAAAAAATAAAGCATATATTACAGCTTTAATTCCAAATGTAATCAGCTCCATTAACTTGCAGTTTTGTAGATGATGTTTGGAAATGCAGTTTAACTTGGAGAAGTATTTCTGTGGTAGTGGTTTTGGGAGGCACATGAGAATTGTGTATGGGCAGGCATGCCTGAAGCACCAGGTAAGTGCTGGAGGGGAAATACTAGGAGCCCAGTCTCCCTGCTATAGGCCAGTGACAGACGTCATTTTAAGCTCTTGTTTATTACTTTCAACAGATAGCAATGGTGCAGATAAAAACATCCAAATATATCTTCTAAATAAACCATAGCCCTAATGTAGAAGACTTAATACAAATTATACTAGAAGTTGAATGTTCTATTGTAGAACACTCCTAAAACGTTTACCACGCTATCAAGAAGCAGAGGAGGTCACACTGGGGGGGGGGTGGGTCTTCAGAATCTCATTCCTGCTTGGCTCTCCCCCACTGGGCCAGCCTCAGAACTACACCCTTCGAGGGCAGCCCCACAGTCTGAGTAGGAACAGGAGCTTTATCTGTATCAGTGGCTTTATCAGTTAAAGCTCTTTTTTATTCTGGGTTGGGGATGAGCTTTCTGAGCTCCGATAACCAAAGCATAGGTTGGAAAACACATCCTATACTTTGAGGTAAGGGTGGTAGTTCAGTATGCCCAAATCAGATTTATCTATCTTGATTTCACTGTAAAGAGAAATGAAGAAGATATGCATTTATCTATGAGCAGCAGCTCTAAGAGAAGTGAAATAAAATATGAGCTTATTTTTAAAAGTATCCTCGCTGGCACGGGTAATAGTCGTGTGGGGTGTGCTCTGCCAACCATCCACTCGCTCACAGGAAGGATACATCAGATTTTGCTGAGGCTGGAAATCTTTACAGATCTGTTTTACTAAGTCCCCCAACAACTGTACAGGTAAGGGATGAGAAGAATTAGCTCTTAAATCTTGGTTTTGGCCTGAGTTTTCTTTCTTTCTTCATGTGTGGATAAAAAAAGATGTTATAAACTTCAGAGAGTCCCCCCTCTGCTCACATTAGAAACTTGTTGTGATGTTCAGTGTAAAAGCACAGGCTGAATATTATTGATTATAAAAGAAAGGAAACTGGGCAGGAAAAAGGAGGCAGATAACATTGTTTTCTTTGAGTAATAGGTAAGTTGATCTACTCTTTTATTTCCCTAATATAGTCATTGATGTACTGAGAGGAAACTTCACCAAATAGTTAAAAATAATCTTGCAAATAAGAAGTTTTTGGTTCCAATAAAGGTTTCTTGTTCAAATGGTAAATACATTTTATAGACAGTACAGGACACAGTGCAAATTACAGAAACACCGTACATGACATTTGATACCTGATGTTTTGCTGCATGTATCGATCTGGGTCCTGAGCTGTAAATGTTGTCAACATGGTACCAGCATGAAGGCCTTCTTCCTGGCGAATGATCTTGGGATTTGGGGCAAAATAAGGGTTTTCGTTCACATCAATAACTGTAACTGACACAGTTGCAGTTGACTGAGGGGGATGCTGAATACCCTTGGCTAATGGCACTTGATTTTCTGCAGCCACAGTAAGGACAAACATCCTATTTGTTTCAAAGTCGATTGGCTGGAAAAATAAGAAAAGGGAAACCATATTTTTTGCAGGAAAAAGAATATTTGCAGCTGCAGTTCATTCTCCTATCAACTCCATTTCCAACATTAATTTTTCATTCACTACACCATAGGTTCCTCCCAAATTTCTGTAAAACATGCATTAGCATGGTCAATGATTGAAATATTTATCACAATTGAACTTATTTGCATCAGATACTTATACATCTTCAAAGGGTACTTCAAAGATTTATGTTCAGAAAATAATGGGTATTACTATTGCGCTGATTGCATTTATTCAGCTACATCCAAAAGCTTGATTATTTTTAAGGACAGCATTGTTAACAAAAAATACTAAATAATCTGAGGTCAAGTGAGAACCTGAGGGTCCAGACTGTATTCTCAAACACTGGTACAAACACCACTCCTCACCCAGGAAAGCTTTGAGAAGTCTGAGGAATTGCAGAAAAACAAAAATAAAACCCTAGAAAATATGATTTCTTTTCATAAAGCTAAACTTGCTCAATTTAAAGCATCAATCATAATGTAAAGTACACATTTTGAAGTACACACACACTTTTAAATAATGATCATGTTTGTAGATAGAAGTTGTTGTTTTGTCTGCTCATTCCTTAGTTTACTAGTTTACAAACTAAAACTCTGGCTATTTTCCAAAGTGACTCTGGATAGTTCACTGGTCTGTAAAAATCCCAAATCTAAGAAGAATACCCTAGATAAAGGCAATGTACAAATGATGCGTAATGTAAACAGTAACTTTCAAGGTTCCATTGAATCCCACTGTCAATAGAAAAGAAATTAGGAGTCAAGTGATCAGACTGTATTTTCACCCTTAATTTCCCGGGATCACCTTCTAACAGATGCGGGGATAAGCTTTACGGTGCAGTAAGAATATGAAAAGGAGCTGGCAGGACGATTATGTTATCAGAGGGAGTCCACGAATGATCGAGGGCTGAATGAAGTGGATGAGAAAGCCACGTGATCAGCCCGAACTACACCGGACCTAGTTTCCCAGCCTAGATCACCTCCTCACATCTTCATGCACAGTTTTCTTCCCCTCACTCTAAAATCCCCAATTCAACTTCTCTTTCTCAATTATTTTAAACAAGACAGTAAGGAAGTCAGAAAGAAAGATAGAATTCTTTGATTACATTAGTCACACTAACTGTCCATGACATTTATTTATGCTAGGTGGAAGGCACAGCTCTACATCCCTTAATGTGTATTAAGCTTATTTATTCCTCAGAACGACACCATGATTTCGGTACTATTATCCTCCCCACTTTCTGGATGAGGAATCTAAAGCTTAGAGTGCTTAAAACAATTTGCTGTGGTCACAGTGCTACCAAAGGGCAGAGCTGGGACTTGAACACAGATAGCTGGGCTCTGGGGTGTGTTCTTGCTCACTGTGCTACTAGTTCAGAGAATTCCAACATCCACCTCCTGGGGGAAATTGCCATTCTACTCACACACCTGTGGAATTCTTGGTCACTTACACCTCAGCACACCTTTCTATGTAAGGCCAACATTTGGGTCCACCTACAGACCCATGTTGGGATGGGAGACAGCAAGCAAACACTTCACAGGGGGCCCAAAGGGTGAGATATTCACTTTAAAGAATCTTTACCTTATATTTATTGTATTTATTGCTCTTGAAGTTAACATTCTCTTGGCTTCCAGAACTCACTTGCATTTTTTTTTGACAACTAAAATCAGAAGCACCATTTCTTTAAGTATTAAAAATAGCATTCAAAAACAGCCATGTAAATTCACAACCTTTAAAAGTGTAGGCCTTCCTCATTTCTACTCATCCCATTTACTCTTGGGCTATCTTCTGGTCTGTCCCCTGAGCCGATACTCAAATAACAAGCCATGCACTTGAGGGTAGTAGGTGTGCACATCAGTCCTAATAGCTATGAGTCGGTGACACAAACCAGGACAGGCTGTGTCACTGACTCGTCAACTACACTGACAGTTCACACTGTGGATGACAGTCCTGTCTTCAGATTCTTCATATTGCCCAAAGTGACTCAAAAACAATCATATTCCAGGGATACTGTGAGAACATCTGTTGGCCACAGCCTCAACATAAGTCAGAAGTAAAAAATGTGATTCCCCCAAACACATGAACTCCAAGTTTAAAGGTGTTTGAAAGAAAAAAAGCCCTCAGATTCAACACAAACCACAGGAGAGGGGCTGCATGGGCCCCAGCCGAGGGGCTGTTGGAGATGGGTGGCCTGAGCCACAATTACCTTCACCACGGTGACTAAGCCGTCGTTGCTGTGTGGGTCGGTCTGAATGGCAAACCGCCCTGTGGGGTCCCCGCCGCTGATTCTGTACACAGCGTTCCAGGCCGGCGTATGGGGCTGGTCCTTATCCGTCACGGTTAGGTTAGCGACTATGACATCTACCCTGTTCTCAGGGACTTCACCATAGAACTGCAGGAAAGACAGCCCCAGTCAGAGCAGCCACATGGGTCCTGAAGGACAGTGCATCTTGATGCAGATTTTACTGCCCCATTAAATCTTTATTATCCACACTAAACGTGGAGGTAATGCAGGTAATCACAGCATTTATGTTTGACTTTTAAAATACTGTAACTTTTTCCAGTGGTCAGGTTTATCCCAAATTGTACCACAGTTTCATTAATATTAAGATTAGCATACATCTGTGAGTACCTGGGTGATTACTGTAGGGTCGGAGGACAGCACTTGTCTGAAGGAAATAATTTTACTCAAGAGGTAATAATTATACACTGACGAAGTAGCATAAATCAGTTATGTACTATGCACTTAGTTTCATGATCCTGAAATATGTATAGTATTTTGTTACAGTAGTACAAAATCCTTTTAGGGCATTTCTTCCAGGCAGCATATTTTAACACCTTTATCAGTGACCTGGAGACTATGAGACAACAAACTAGGAGCCTTATTTCAAGTCTTAGTGACGGAAAATGTCTGAGTCAGCAGCCATTCTATGATTGGTTAAGCCCATCCCACCTCTATTTAATATGCTTATTCTTCATGCCAAACCTTCTCCATAATGGACGGTAGACCTGACATTCTGGGAGTGACAGTCCGCACTTACTGTCATGGCAGTGAACTCCGGAGGGTTGTCGTTGACATCTGTCACTGTGATGATAGCGGTGGCCGTGTTTGAAAGGCCGTAGGTGGGGTTGCCTTCCATGTCTGTAGCTTGAATTATTAACGTATATTGTTGCACTTTCTAAAAAGACATAAAGATAACAGATAACCACTTAAATGAAACTAATTCTTTAAGAAGGCATAATAGTGGTTTTGTAACAGGCCCTTTATTATACACGGAGAAGGCAGCATCATTCACGCTGATAAACATGACTTGAAGTTTCCCAAGTGGAGTTTACTTTAACTTGAGATGCACAGGTCTGGTTCTTGTCTAGAGAGATTTAAATGTATATCTGCCCTTCTGTGTGTGGAAAGAAGCACATTGCAGATGTGTGAAGTTTACAGGTAAGCTGAAACTTCTCTGTGGTTTCTACCTTTCTCTTTCTTCTGAGCTTCACAGCATTCTGACTCAGCATTCAAGTCATTTGGTTTGTATTTACTTTCTCATACATTAATTTCTACCCAGTTTAGAATATGGAAGATGATAAAAACTTTTGAAAATTCATGAAGTACATACGCTTTCTTTTTATATAGTCTTGTATGTGTTCTTTCTGTTATGCCTAGGTTGATACAAGGCTTTCTCCTAATTCCCATTAGTACATACTATTCACAGCTATACAGGAGATACCTCCTTAAATGAAGTCAAAACCTGATTAAAGGATTTACGTTTCTCTCCTTAGTCCTGGAACACAGTAGGTATTTAATAGTTGAATACTCAATGGCTTGCCATCTTGGCATCACACTCATTGTGTCCACATATCTGTGATGAATATGGACACATCTGCACATAAATGGTCATTATTAAATTGGTATCACTGCTTTCAAAGTCCAGATTGAATTTTTAAATGGGGAGCCAAATTAAGTTGCAATGTATCTATATAAAATCTTGAGAATGGCTGAGAAGTCTATAGCCCTAGCTGACAAAGTTTTATATTAGGATAGCCTAGCCAAGAGGAATACCTAAAATCACTTGAAATTTCTATGGAAATTGGCACAGATAAAAAATACAGATTGTTCATAAATGTTACAACATTCTGAACAACAAAATTCACTTCTTCATGCAAAAATAAACTGCCACTGCAAAATAGAGTTATCCCCGATTCTAAATATAGCTAACATTATGAATGGCCATTTTTAAGGATTTTTGGAGCTTACAGAGAACAGAACAAATTGTAGCTTTTGATTCAGTTGTTAGTGGGAAGGGCAAGGAAAAAGAAGTAGGAGGGAAAGCCAGACCTCACACATTTGATTTTAAGTCTCTGTCCACCCAAATGTCAATCTCTGATAGTTATTTATTTTAGTGGGTCTTTTTCTTTGTCTTCCTAAAAGAGAAAATGCCACACTTTTTGGAATTAAAAAAAAAAAAGAAATAAAGCAATAGTGCTGGTTGAGCCATTTTAATTTTTTTCAACCCATAACACCTGACCATAATGCTTACATCAGCTAAAATATTTCCTAATGATTTCCTTTCCCAATCAAGAGAGTCATTTGAGCTTAATGGTCCCATGGTTAGTGAGAGATTTTTGTAGGGCACTGAGTTCAGCCTCCTAGCTGGAAATCATGAAACTAAAAATTTGTTATGACTTTGAAATGCCATTTTTGTTAGCTGTTGTTTGCAGAAACAGATGAAATCCTCCAAAAAAGGGAAAAAATTGGAGTATTTTTCTTAAAGAAGACAAAAAACCCACACAGATATTATATGGAGATAGAGTTTTTTGTTAATGTCTGCACTTGAAATTATAATGTCTATTTTGAAATTGTACAAGCATAATATATACAATTTCCCACTGAGCTGAAATATTGGGATCAGTAGCTAATACTTGAAATTTCCTATCGCTTCAAGCTAGTCTTGAAATCTTTAAGTTACAAAAGAATATTGTTATTTCTAGGATACAATGCCTCTTCACATAAAAAATATTGACTTGGTAAATGTTTTAATCTCCATTTATAGATGCCTGGTTGGTAAAAGGCTCTTGCATTTAGTAAGGAAGACGTGACAGCCTCTGTGTTAGATAACCAAACTATTTACAGCTTCTTGCCTCATTTAGCTACTGGGCATCTGGTTTGGGATCACTGGCTTAGAATCCATAAAAATTTGACTTCCTACCTTCACAGACCCACATCTGATTGAGGGGTCTTGGCTTAAAAACATTTCCCCATTTTAATGACAACAGATGTGGTTGTTAAAATGGCGGGGTGCCATTGACGTCTAATGGATAGAAGCCAGAGATGCTGCTAGACACGCAATGATGCACAGGCCAGGGCCCACAGCAGAGATTTATCCGATCCAAAGAGTTAATAGTACTGATGTTGAGAATCCCTGGCCTAGAATATGCTTCCCTTCATTCTGAGCCTGGTAGACATGAAGCTTACCAGTCACCTCACAAATGGCTTCTGAAAGTCCTTGAGGCAGAGCTGCCGGCCCACTCAGGACATGGCGCTGTCTCTCTAGTTTCTCTGGCTGCCATCCATCTGCACGCCTGTCCCACTATGTACACACACTCCTCCCCAGGGTCCTTGCTTTGTCAGTGTTTATGCTGCTGGTATATAGCACGATGCCTGACAGTGAGAAACAAGCAGTAAGTGCTTCTGAATTCGGGGTTGGGTGGATGAATGGATGCAAAACGTCAGGCCTTGCATTACATTATGAAACTCATTTCAGGTTTGGGAAAAACCATCTTCTTATTTACATGGCTGGCTCTCATTTATTCATTAAAACATATACTGGGAACATACACCAGCCCACTGTTTCCCAAACTCCAGTGAGTCATATGCCATCTTCCCAATTCTGCCATATCCTCCTATTTCTATATGAGTCACTGATTGTCTTGACATTAATGCCCTTTTGGAAAACTTAATTTATTGTGAAAGTACTGTACATGAAAAACTATTATCACTTGCCATGAATATACTGTAAAATGAATGCCTGGCAGGCTGATGGTGTTGCATCTAAGAGATGCATGGTCTTTGGTTTTTCCCAGGAGGCTTCCTTACATGTATCAACCAAAGTCATGATACCTACGTACCACATTTTTGAAAGGCTGAACTAGAGTGACATAAGCAGACAGAGCTAGAAACACTGAGTCACTCATTTGGCAATCATTTAATGAATATCTACTAGATGTCAGACAATGTAGCATTTACTGGAATGAGATACATACTGGATCCTTGGATAATTTACTGGGATAATATAATGAACACAACCAGAGGTGGCCTTGCTGTCCATCCTTGAGTGATGGAGGCAGATATTAATGGATCACAGGCCAAATGTGCAAAGCAACTTTCATAAGAGCAGGAAGATGTGATGTAAGGAACTTTAATGGGGACATCTAACAGTCCTCAATGTCTGGAGAGAAGAAAGTGTGCAAGAGGCATTTTGGGGCTGAACTGAAAGAAACTTGATGATGAAACAGACCTGCTGATGGAGGGCAGTGCATGGTCTAGGCTGGCAGACTCTGATCTTGGGAGACTGGGGCAGTGGTACTGGTCACACGGAATTGGAAATTCATCAGGAAGCACATATTTAGGAAGATGATAGGTTTGCTTTTGGAAGCACTGGGTTAGGGGATGGACAACTACATAATAATGTCATGAGAACTCAGGAGGGAAGTACATGTTTGTGACCCTGTTTAAATTCTTTAATGCTAAGCCCCAGTGTCCTTGTCTGTGAAGGGGCCGATAGTGCTATCTATCTTGTAAATCTATAGTTTAAAATTTGTTTTGAATGCTTACTATATGCCAACACTGTTTTAGGGCCTTGACAATAAAAACAAAAATTAACATTTGTTGAGATTGAGCACTAACTATGTGCCAGGCACAGTGCTAAACACTCCACATTACTTCATTTGGTCCTCAAAACAATCCTGAAAGGCAGGTGGATTTTTTTTGTCCCCACTTCACAGACGAGGAAAATGAGGTTTAGGAAGGCAAGTAAGCTTGCCCACCTGTACCCAGCTGTAAGCAGCAGAGACAAGATCTGAATCCAGGACTCAGAGAGACCAGAATCTGTACCATTAATTGATCCACTATGTTGGTGCCCTTCAAGAGAGCGAGTATGTGCCTAGCACAGGTGCCTCCTGATTCAAGACGGTCGGCAGAAAGTCAGTTTGCAGGGAGGTGGGGATGGAGTGAGAGCTGAGAGCAATGTAGGCTGGTCTTTTCAGGAATCTGGTATTGAAATGAAGGAGAAAATCTTGCAACATGAACACTTTGTCAGGGCTCCTGCTCTGGATGGAAAGATGAGGAACACAGTGGTCTCTCAATATCAGGAGCAAAAATGCAGACAGAATGTCTACGTAACAATCTTTGTGTATCCGAGAAACCGATAACTGTGGGCATCCAGGGTGGGCAGGGGACTTGCTGCCAGAGAGTGAAGATTTGCCTGCTGTGGGGAGATGGGAAAGGGATCTCTGTGCAGAGGAGGCAACAGAACAGAAGGAGGTAAGACGTTGGGTTTGTACAAGGAATTGCAGGCAGTTGTGTGCGTGGTGCTCCTGAGCAGGACGCAAGGAAGTTGAGGGGGTTAGATGAGGGGGGCTTGTGCAGAGCCACTTCCCCACAGGTGACAGCATGTTGGCAGGCTCCGAAGGAGCCTATAGGGCTTGTAGGGAGGATCCTGTGGAGCAGGGAAGGCCGAGACAACAGCAAACAAGAGCCTGCTCCTTCAGATAGAACACCGCGTTGAGGGCACAGCAAAAGGGGGAGCAGGCTTGGTGATCAGGAAGGAAAACCTTTTGCCATGAGGAAAATCACAAGAGGAGTAAACAGGGAGGGGGCTAACTCAGGTGATGCCCGGGCTGCTTTATGACAGTGACGGGGCAACAGCGGCTACACTGTACTGGGCGCCATGTGAATACCTCATGCCTACTGCACACAGCCACCTTCCCAGGCAGGTAGTACTATCATCCCCACTTGCGGTCGTGAGAGCTGAGGTTGCAGGTTGACTCACTGGAGGTCAAGAAGGACCGTAACAGGCAGAGCCGTCACTCAAATACGGTGAGACAGAGGCTGCCCCTTCTGGGGTCCTGGTCCAAGTGGGCAGGAGAGGGGCCACCACAGAGAAGGGCAGGGAAAGACGAAATTGCCAGGAATAGGCATCAGTGATGAACGCAGCAAGACATCAGGGAGAGACAAGGAACTAAAGACTAGGGTTTGTGTTGGTACCTCTTAGGCTGGAAAACCCGAAGAAATGATAGAATACTTGGAAATGAAAAAAGGAGAATAAAACGCTATATCTCAGCAAGCATGCCACTGATTAGGAGTTCAGTCACTTGAAGGTGTCACATTTCTTGGAAGAACAATGACCAAACCTACTTCTGACAGAAAGAACACTATGAATTCTAATAGAAATAAAAGAATCGCAAGCCTGCACATGGCCTGAAGAAGTCAGAGTAATTTATTCCCAGCATCAGGCAGCATGACCATAAACCATCTGAGATAGAGACATTTTTTCTATGCTAAATGACTTTCAGAAAAGGAAGATTTTTCCACAATTTTTCCTAGTAACTCATTGTTGTGTTTAGTAATTTCACTGTCAAAAAGCTATTCCTCATACTGTATTTCACCCATGACTGCACAGTTATAAACCCTTTACCACAGTTGTTTCAACAGGGAGTTGGTGCACACAGTCGCTTCCATCCATTGCAAGATACACTCAGCCACGACTGTGGTCTGACTTCAGACTTTCACCCTCTAAACAAAACACATTCTCTTTGATTATAAATATTGTAGGTTGGCCTGAGGAAAATGACTTTTCATTCTCTACGCATCTTTCTTGTCATTTGCCAGGCTAAATGTGATAGGAGTATTACTGTATGAAACGAGATGAAGCCCTATTTCTGTATCTTACAGTGAAGAATGTGAATGAAAGAAATATTACGATTGAGAGGTGAGCTATGCCTACTTAGCATGCGAGCAACTTGGCACTTAAGAGAGAATTTAAAAGCTATCCTACATTTCCTTCTAAAATATGGCATTCATGCTGAGTTTATTGGCATTTAAGAATAGTATTTCATACAGTAAAGGAAGAGGTGAAAAGACACACCTGTTTTCAGTATTACTGAACTAAAAGTACTATTACAAAAACGAAATATCAACCATCTCTAATGCAAAACATCTCAGAAAAAGAATCGCTGACACCTGGAAGTTAATAGGTACAATGTTATAGGCATAATTCTAGCTCCTAAGGAAGGCTTTTGGCTCAGTTGTGAATAAAGTAATCTTGATTGGCTTGTAATGCTTTATGAAAGTGCTTCTAGCACTATCTTGCGTGTGTAATTAATTGCAACAGTAATGTTTTCTTCGATCCATTTCAAGTGACTGCTACTAAGGCAAATAACGCATCATAAAAATCAACTCCTAAAATCCTTGTCAATAATATTTGTTATGGTAGGTAAAATGTTTTTTTTGACGTACATCATCTGAGTCTCATTACTACAAAAGCTGGCTCAGCCAGAAATCTACAAAGCACGAACCTCTGTGAGGTGGCACTTTGATAATTCACTCATATAATGATTACTGATGATCAATAATGACCTTGAGAGTCTCTTAAGAGAACAGAACAGAACAGAGAAAGGGTGCAAAAGATACACATTAAGGCCGGAGTTTTCGGGAAAGCATATAATAAGCAGGGCTTAAACTGGAATGCGAAGAACTGGAAGGTTCGAGCTGGAGAAAAATGTGCAAAGCATTCACGGCAGGAGTCACCACCTGGACAGGATGCAGAGAGGGGTGGGAGCACAGGGCATGCAGTCTGTCCCTGTCCATGCCCGCCGGGGATTAACTGAAATGCCCATTCCTTCTCAGACTGTGATACTACAGAACATTTAAATTCCATCATCGTTGAACACTCTTACGACAAAATACCCTGTTCAGAAGTGTGTTTCTCTGCATTTACAATTTTAAAGGTTTATCAGTATAATTAATGCAGTTACTAGTATTCAAACTTGTTAAATAAGTTAACCTTAGAGTTAAGGGGCAAGTTCTAATAATCTCCTTTGTGCTAGACCAGGGTATCCACAGAGGCTACATAAAACCTAATCATATGCATGTCATTTGCAGCTTCTTAAAAAAAAAGAATGCTGAAAATTATCCTAAATGTAGGCACATATTATTTGGCTATTATTTTTAATTTAATTCTTCACAAAAATATTTGAATATAAGGTAAAACCCAGAGAATGCCAAGGATTTTAAAAATTAGATACCAGAGGTATCTAATTAACTTAGTCAATTATCATGTGACTATTACATAGACCAGCAATGTAAGGCTCACAGTGATTATCCAGCACCACATACACTATTTAACCCATTTGAAGTTCTGAAGAAAATATTACAGCCAATTGCTTCACGATTAACATTGAATAATATTGTGGATATATTATTACCTGGAGATACCTTGTATGTAATATTGTGCATCTTTAAGATTAAAAACAAGCTCAAACGTAGTTTTTGGTTTGCTTACTTCTCTATCAAGTCCAGCTGCCACTGTGATAATGTCACCGGTCTCATTGTTGATTGTAAACATGTTGGGCGAAGGGGTGCTTGGAGCCTGGGACAGGATTCTGTACCTCAACATCCCATTTAGGGCGTTTGGATCATCAGCATCAATAGCAGTGACTGTCATCACATAGGTTCCTAGACACAGGACACAGAAAATGCACGGTCACTGATTTCAGGGTCTCCTTAATAGAAAGTATATAGCTACCTTTTTAACTGATCCTAATCTCACTTTTTCGAAACAAGTATTTCTTTGTGTAAACTCGATAAAACACTGCTGAGAACAGTACTCACATTAAAAAAATGAAAAATGCGGTTTAGACACTTGAAAGGAAAATCATTAAAAATGTATTCATTTATAAAGACTCCATGACTTAGAAGATTCGTTCACAGAAAGGATTCAAAGGAAGGACCACATCAGACCCTCGTTTACATAAAATGAAAATGATCAGTAACACAGATGCCATTAGCAACATATTTTATGGCCACTGATTCCTTCCCTCTGCCATGGTTTCTTCCATTATGCAATAACCCCTAAGATGACATGCTGAGCATGATTCTCCCCAGTGCCTAAGTCACTTCTGAAAGTAAGCTGTGTGCGTAACAGTACACAGTCCATTTACTCAGGTCATAAGGAACCTCTCCATGCATTACTGTTTCGGTACACTGAATAGGGCTTTGGCATTGTAGTGCTTATTTCTTAGGGGATTAAAACAACACTATAACAAACTCAGGGACTTCAATTTATTAGACATTTTGGAAAGGAAATCTACAAAGCATTCGGACCAAATAAGCTTAAACTAGCTAGACAAAATGTGTCATTTAGAAGTAGAGAGTAGTTACTATTTAAGAAGGCTTGTTCTGTGGGATATTTATAAGACCTGGATTATGAAATTTTCCATCTCCAAGTTAGCTTCTGCCTGAGTATTCTAAGCTTTGCTCCACTTTAGGAACTTTCTAGTTTCTGTTCCCTGTACATGGTACATTTTTGCCCCAAAATTAATAAGGCTCGGTCACATTATTCAAGTCTCTTTTCAGAGCTCGTCCCTCTAAAGAAGGGTGCCATCCTATAGCTTTTATTAATTTTTTCAAACCTTTATTGTGTATTTGCTTGCTTGACTTTTAATTTTCTCCCGTAATAATTTAAGCTCCAACAGGGCAGGATCTAGCTTGTCACTGCTGTGCCCAGAGTGATGGGATCGTGCCCAGCACATAGCATGCGCTCTATCAGCATTCACTGGATGAAGGAATTGTAAAAACAAAAGAATTGGTTTCAGAATCTTGAACCAAAATGTTGATTACAATGCAGTTTAAGTCAAGATTCATGACATTATTAAATGCTGCCTACAAGCACATTTTCAAACTTATAGAACCACCACAGGACATGTGCTAGGAAATGTCTTTACTTCTCATGATCACTGAGAGTGTTCTATTTATGGGAGGCTTTCTGGAAACTCATGGACAAATGCATAATAAGTAGGTTTTAATGACTTATTTTTGACAGTTTTGGGGAAGCAATACTTTCAATAAAGTTAGAAGCAATAGAAGAGAAAAGAAAATAATTTTGAAAAACCAAAAACTAGGCGAAAAAAGCTCAACATTTATTTATCCTTATGTATATGTTTATGAATATGTATATGACTTGTGTTTAGTAAGGGTATGCTTAATATGCTTTGACTTTATAGCATTTTAAAGTACCAAAGAAAGCTACTCTGAGATGTAACTTGGAAGGAGCAACAGTGGCTGAATTTCCTGCACATCCATGTAGCCTCAAACCAGCTGCCCACCCCCCACTTCTTGTCTGAGAGTACCGACAAGTGTGTTTGAACTAAGCAAAAGAACCAATTTAAGGCATAGGTGGTTATGTGCACAAATATTGGCTTATACATAAAGGAGCTACATGAAGTGGTATAGATGACAGAGGTAATAGCACAATTTTAAACACTGAGGCTTTTTTAAATAGGAAAAAAATGAACAGGCTAATTAAAACTCTCCAAACACAACAAACCACCATCTCAGGAATGCTGGCAAAACACTGCCTTTTGCTGTTTCTCTATCAACTGCTTTTCCTGTCCCCTAGTTTCCCATATGATATCGGCCTTTCTAGTCTTGCTGTTCTCCTGTGACTGACTAAAGTCTTGTGTTTTTAGTACAAGAACAGAAAAATCTTAGTCAAACCTCACATGGCTTTAGCAGTTGCTGTGTGTAGGCCGGGTCACTTTCTGTGGCACTAAGGGAGGCCTGGGGCCCTGGGGCCATCGGGAAAGTAAACACCCAGTGCAGCCGGGCAGCAGCCCTCACAGCCATCCCTGAGCCCCCACTCTGCTTTTGGTCCCGGGAATGCCAAGTGTCTTTGAGCCTCTAGCTGCTGCTATGACTGACAGGATGGAACTGTACTTTGTGAAAGAAATCTGCTGCCTCTGGGCCCACTTGCTAGCTGCCATGACCATATCAACTTCAGCAGAATGAAAGGGTCTCTAGCATCGAATCAGGTCCTGTGTGTGCACGTGTTCAGAGGTGGGAAAAGTCGATGTGGGCAGTAGAGTGATACTTCTCTGGTTTCTCTCTTATTCCCCTAAGTTATCTTCCTTCTTCCCTGTGTCATGAATGAAAGATGACACTGAGGTGACAGTCGCCTTCTCTTGCTCCTGTATCAGTGCTGGGTCACACCACACTCCCAGACACAGTCCCCAAGTTAGAGCTCACATCTCCCGACTTACCCGGCTTTGATCCTTCGGGAACCGTCCCATTCCAAACTTGGTGCAGGAACTCTGGTCTGTTATCATTCATATCGATAACATTGATGACAATGTCAATAGGGTTCTCCACTTGATTGCCATTAATATCCACTGCATGTGCCCTCAACTGCAAAAGTTATTCCAAAACAAAACCTTTTAACAGATTGACATCCCGAGTGAGAAGACTAAATATTCATTCACCTTGCTGCTGATGTAGCAAGGATGGGCTACCCTTCCCGTCAAAATTTTAATTGGCCGAACTCCATATAATTATGGTAGATACAGTAGCAAAAGGCCAGCATTCTCTCTGTGAGGCACTGTGCTTAGCTTCATGGATTTTAACTCATTTAAGCCATACATAAAAGGGTGAGGAAGAAATTATTAGCATTTGTATGTGAGGATACGGAGCTTCAGAAAGGCTAAGTACTTTGCTTAACTGACAGAGCTCCTATCCGAGGCCAATTCTGTCCAGCTCCTAGATCCTTCTGCCAAAGCCCTACGTATGAGTCAGGGTAATTAAAAATGTGGTACCGGCAGAGCAGTCATAGAGATCAAGGGAGCAGAAGAGACTCCAGGAATATAAGTGTGCCTAAGGAATTCTGAACCTAGCTGGGTTTTTTTTAATAATAAAAGTCACTCATAAATGTTAAAAGGACCTAAGTATGTAAAATAGTTGTTCCTCTCCCAGGCCTGAGTTCTCAGTTTTAGAGGTATTCTAGAAATTTTCTCGTTATTTTTGTTTTTAGGCAAATATAATTACTCAGCTACCCTTGGCAGAATATCTTCAAAACCTTTTCATCTAGCACATAGAGATCCATTGCATTCTTTTCAATGGCTGTGTAGTGTTCCATTAAATCATTTCCTTTCAACAGAATGCTTCTGTGGTTTTCCTGTTAAGTATGATGCTGGCCATTGGTTTCTGTTCAATATGCTTTACTCATTTAAACAAGCATCAAAGTATTCCTTTTATTTTTTAGAGGTTAGAAACAATGTAAATTTTATTATTGCCTTTTTAACAGTTATAGAAATAATCTTACTTTTCTTTCACTTATTTAATAGGTTTTATTACATTAACAGAATCAAATCCTGAAATTTCCTTGAAATTCTGTGATCCTGTTGGTTTATGGATATTGCTCTTTTATGTACAAATAGTGATAACCAGGAGAACAAAAGTTTACCCCAAAATTGACCTGAAAATATTTATTTCCTAAGTTTTAACAACATAAGTTCAGATAATGAAAATTCATAGAGGAAGAGATACTTAAAAGTTTTTAGTTGACATTATTTATATTTATAAATTAGAGACTAGTCTAACTCGAGATTGGACTACTATGTGCTATCTCTATCAAGTTTCCCCACTAATGTGATGTTGTCTTTGTGAAAGATTTAGAAGTTTTACTACTGAGTTGTTTTAAAAAACATAAATAACCTTAGAATTACATATTCTCTTAAGGATTTCAAAAGAAATGGTTGATAAAACAATCAAAGCTTTTGAGAGGAGGGTGTGTTGAGTAATACTCAGGATTTAAAATGTTTTAAATTTCTCATATGCTTATTTGTCTGCTTAGATCTACAAAAATCTTGTTTTACCACATATCAATATTTTAATAATTTGAAACTTCGATAATTTAAAAATGTGTACAAGTGCAGAAATTCAACAAATATATTAATAGACAAAATAAGGATCTAAAAATAAACACATGCCTATGTGGAATAAAAAGTGAGCGAGTAAGTGTAGTATCAATGGAAACACTAATTCAGTAGAAGGGGCAACTGGTTTGCCATAAGGGAAAACAAAATGTGTCTCTATCCCTCTCTTTTTACTAAAATAAACTCCACAGAGGTTAAAAATTTAGATGCATAAAAATAAACACAACAGATAAATTTAAGGAGATTAATATCTTGAAGTAGGCAAGTGCTTATTACCGTCTCAAAAACCAGAATGCAGGATAAAATTTAAAAAAATGAACTTAACAATGCAAAAACTGTAAATTATCATAAGGTAAGAATTGTTAACAAAATTTAAAAACAAACAACAAAAGGAGAAAATATATGACAAATGAAGCAGCTCTAATAGATAAAAGTTTCTCAACAACAATAAGAAAAAAAATAAACAATTCAAAAGAAAGTTTGTCATAAGACAGGAATAGAGAATTCACTTTGATTGGATATTCACCTTCTGCAACACAAGGTGTTAAAACTCTCAATATCAAAGCTTTAAGGCCAACATAAGAGGCAAATGTTAAACTTTGCACACATCTAGAAGAGTACTAGTACATAAAATGATCAGCTGCTTGAAGTCTTACATGAAACCTGGCGATCAGTTCACGATCCAGAGGCTTGGTCACCGACAGCTGGCCCGAGATGGGGTTGATAATGAAGATTCCAGTGGGAGGCTGGTCAGCTCCTGGCCCAGTTACACTGTACCGCAGCGAGAGGTTTTTATCTCTATCGGACCTGATCTGAGGATCCAGACGACAATCATATTAAACAGGAGAGAAAATGAGCCCATTCAGAGACATTCAAGATGTCACGCCAGGTACAGACCAGCACCATCTCATCCCAGGAAAACCCTGAGACCCTCTCAGTCCTGTTCCTCATCCTCGCTTCTTAGTGACAGGCTTCAAAAAGAGATGTCCCTTTCAACCACAAAGGCTGGGGGCAACATTAACGTCTCTAAGGACACTCACCGAGAGCTGTACAAAGCGTCAGAATTAAGGAGCGTCAGTTCTTAAAACAGTATCAGATTCTATCCTGGGATTTTGAAGGTTAGAGTGTTTAACCCAGGAACAGGTGTCCAATTTAATTAAAATAAAACTTGTTTACCTTTTTGCATCAGTTAAGATAAGAACTAACTGTCTAACTGTTAACACATAACACAATGAAAACACAAATAACACAATGAAAATGTGCCACCCGTGTTCTAGGACTATTTAATGGGAATAATTAAAGACCATAGGAACAGATAAAATGACAAAGATGTCTGTTAATAAGAAACTGTTATTAAAATTATAGTCTATTCATTCAATGGAATATTATGTGAAATAGCCTCACACGGGAACTCTAATATTATGGATGCGCCTGAAAGTCAGATCTCAGTACCTACACTGGACTGATATGACTCACTGCAAACAAAGCTTTCCATATCATTCTCAGGTGTCACCTATTACTTAAAATTCTTTATTAATAACAAAGCATACAATAAATGATTAAAAAAAATATTTTTATACTCTCAAAAATTACACCCATTATACGCTCACTGCCTTCTCCTCTAAGTACAACAACTGCCAAGAAAAGTAAGTTTATAGATAAGAAGTCACAGACTACAGAAAGGGAGGGAGAAGGATAGTACAGAGAAAGGGCCAATCAATTAACACTGTTTAAAGGTGATAATAAGAGATCTTTATGTACTGGATTACACTTAATTCAGTAATAGAATCTAGTTATTGTTTTTTTTTTTAAGTTAGGGCAAAGTTCTTTTTTCCCATTCTCCATTAAAATATAAAACTAAAAAACACTTTCATTTGGGGGTTATGTTGTTCATTATTAAACTGAATTATAATGTGCTTTAGAATAAAATATACAGCATAAGTATGTACATATAAAATAAATAATATATAAATAACATGTAATACATTTATATAATAGTGAATAATAAATATAATTCATGTAAACATAAAAAACAAAAATTTTAAAATATAGCTTTCAGCAAGCATGTATTGGAATGCTATTAATCATATACAGAAACATTTACATTCTAATAAATGGGTATATGATGATTTTATCTTAAAAATTTGTTCTTTGTAATAAATAATGGGTTGCAAATTTTATTGAACATGTAAAAATATCTGCATTTTTTTCTCTAAATATCTGATGGTATGCATTTAGAGTAACAGTAAAAATCATACTTCTCAGATTTAAAAGGCTATGTTTCTACATGGTCCTGAAGATTTTGTTAATGGTATCAGAGGTCATTTTTTTTTTCTTTAAAAAATTCTCAAATGCACTTGGTGCAGGCACATTTTGCAATGATTACCTTTTAATTTTTCTTTGGCCCAAAAGCTATCTTAGAGGGCAAAGTTCATCATGGAGAGCGCAGTGCTTAGACAGGGCAGCAAAGGTGTGTGCATGTTGTAAGGCAGCTTAAGGTGAGGGTGTGTATGTGTGCTGGAGTTAGAGCTTACATACTCACACCAAGAAAACTGTCATTCATGGTGTATAGGACCTACAGAGAGCTCTACCTATAAATAATCTGAGACAATAAAAAAATGAGAAGAGGTTCTCTAAACCATTATAGACATCTCATCTACACACAGAGATATCAGTTTAGTACATACATGTCATAAACTCTACATTGTGAAAAAATAGACAAAGGTATTTGAAACATACTCTTGACACATGCCACGGAGACAGAATCGTGCCACCCTACCCTGACAAGCTCTTGAGGAAAAGGTCCTCTGGAGTTTTCTGGCAAGTTGATAGGAGGGATAACCCAGTCTCTCTTCTGCCTCTGTAGGTGGCCATTGTGCTTAGTCAATTGCCTTGGGAATACTATTTCTTCAATTTCTCTCAATTCCTTTGCATTAAAATACAACAAGACAATACTGAGTGCCAGGAAAAGCATTTTCTGAAAGCATGTCAGTATCAATTGATAACCCACAGCATAGGAATCACAGTCTATTATGAATGAGAAAATGTCTGGAGGCCCTTTCCTTGTCTCACTATTAAAATAATAGAAAACACCGCAACATTTTTCGGTTACACTATTCATTGAAAAATTGAATTCCAAACAATTTATTATGTGGCACAGCTGTGTAAATTATTTGCAGTTTCCATAAACCATCTTAGACAGTAGTTAACACTGAGCAAAATTTAATAGTACTGTTTTATATATCTCTCATCAGTTTAAACCACAGTTCAGGTAATGTCCTACTGTACATTAAATTTAGATCTTAATGTGCTAAAATATAATTTGAATTCCAAGAGAAGTTTAACACATACTGCTAGGAATGCTTTAAATATTTATGACCCTATTAAATCCCACAGAATTAATGCTGTAATTACTCTAAACCGATGTCAGCCATGATGGATGCTGTAGATGACCCACTTTGCACACTGGGTATTAATCTCTGCTGGATGTCAACGTTTCCTTCTGTTTTTCCCTATCTGTAGACATTTTAACCATCAGGCCTTGTGGCTTCAGTGAATCATCAGCAAGAACAGAAACATCTTTTCACTTGATTCGTTACCGGTTTCTCACTTTACATTAGCAGATGACATGACTCCCCTTAACAGTTAATAGATTAACAAATTACATTTTACATAATGAAAGTCCAACACAGGTATAAGAGAAAAATGACAGATTTTCCTTTGGTATAGTTATTCATATGGATACCTTATACCATTTTTACAATTAAATACCAGAAATGAATGTGTATGTTTCTATCTCTCACAGTAGAGTAAATATACAAAATGTAATAGTCATAGTTCATAAAATCATGGACTTCAGAATATATGAGAGTGGTGTCCCCTCATTTCTGTTTTGAATTAACTCATGTATTCGAACCAATAGTATTTACTTTACTGAAGTTATTATGACTTATTAAAAATTCTTACTACAGTGACTTAAACAAAATAAATGCTCAATAAACGTTTGTTGACTTTAATTGAACTGTACTCCATTGGAAATATCTTATTTGTTTTATCTCAACTCATAGCAGCTTCCACCAGAGGGAGCATATCATTCCTAAAAGACCTGTCAGTAGTATAAATAACTCATATTCCCATATTTGATTATTAAGGGATGAGCCAAAGCCTAATGCCCCTAGCCAGAAATGCTTCCCTATTACCACAGTAAATCTGTACTTCCCTTTCAATAAATCTGACTGGTGAGACAGCTTACAAAAAACTGTGAATTTTGTGGTCATATTTAACAGCTTGTAAAGCTTCTAAGAAATTTAAAATAAACAGCACTTCTAACTTAAATGAAGTTACAAACCTCAAAGTATAAACAAACCATTCAAGTATTATTTCAGATAGCTAAAAGTATATTTAGTCTAAGAGTCTTATAAGATATAAGTACTTATATCAATGAAATACTGTTGAAGTGACGTAAGTTGATAAGAATTCAAATATTGACCATCCATTAATGTAACATAAAGCAAAGGTAACTATTGAGTTCAAAGCACACAAATCTAATTTTTAATTATAACCCCAATGCCACATTTGGATACTGTACCTTTAAGGACTCTTCAGGTATGGTCGGCTTGAGGCTCAATTTCACTGCAACTTGCCACTTTTCCTGAGTCTCTTTGTCTTGGGCGTATACCAGGAACTTGGCATGCTGAGAGGACAGGGGAAAGCTTCGCACAGCATATACCATGCCATCGTCATCCACCTTAAAATCTGCTGGCTCACTGCTTTCATACTGCACTTTCCTTTTGCCATTGCAGTTGCTAAACTTCACTGTAAGAGATAATAGATACGTAGATCTAATAATACTTCAAAGGCAGAAACATCTAATGCCTAAATCTATATCCGGCTTAAGTTGAAGGAACCCAGAAGTTATACTTTCACATTAAACAGAGTTCTCACACTGGAGTGGACAGACAGTGGTTCCTAGTGGTTTTCTGACACACAGTCCCAATATAATTTTTTAACAAATGCTTGAAGGAAGAATGCACTAACATTTATTAATGTTGAATGCTTCTATGCTTGAGAATTATAAGAGCTTACGGTAATTAAAAGGTGAATAATTTGCAATTTCTAGTCCTCACTGTATTTACACTAGTTCTATGAAGCAATAACAATTTTATATGATCTCAAACAAATTCTGGGTGCGTCTTGAAAATAAATTTTAATTAAAAGTATCTGTATCTTAAGAGTAGAAGAATCAAAGATTTCAGTATCTTAGTTACCTCTGTCTTGCATGTAATGACTTAAAATTTTTTTAAAAGTCAGTGCATTATTAAAAGGAATGCCAGTCAGCTTTTTATGTCTCACCAGATAATGAAATAAAAGTTAAACCATGTACTTATAAATGTAGAGCAGGCATTTTCAAGCCAAAATAAATTCATAAAATAAAACTTGTATGTAAGGAAAATTATTTCTTTGGAAATCCCTATCCTGTATGAAGAAAAATTGTATAGGAATAGCATAAAGGGACCAAAGGAAAAGCAATTTTTCATTTCCATAAACATATGATTGATATGTCCTGACCACAATTACATAGGATACATTTTGGAATGCGATTAATAGGTACACATTACAAAATGTCATCCCACAAACCTGTCACATTTTTTAAGGATCTAAGTAAATTTTTTCAAATTCCCTCTTTACACAAATTGATGACAGTTCTTTTGTTTTCCCTGACACAAATTCATTGATGTGTACAAGACCACAGTCAAATAACAGGCATGCTCATTTCCCTTAGTAACTAAAATCCTTGATAACAGTAATAAAATACTTTACTAAATATTTTATTCCCCACATACATTATCCTTCATCTGTCAAATATTTCAAAATAAAAATAAATGTTGAATCTCTCACTAGATTGTGTTAAACCAAATTATTTGTCTTTGGAGTAGATATATCTCCAAAAATACATCTTACTTGCCACATGATTCAAAAGTGAAAAATGGGATTCTTTTCTATCAAACAGTGCCATCCACTGCTTATCTTTTATTAAAGGCAACAAAATACAGAGTAAAATTATTTGGGAGAACCCTGCTAAGATATAAAATTGAATTTGAAATTAAATGGAATCAAGTACCATCTTTTCATATAAAAACTATCTTTGATGGTACTTAAAAATACATAACCTGGTTCAGGCAAATTTTATACCCTTATAGACTGTACTACATTGTTCACTTTTACCACTGTAGCATTAATCCTCACCCATTCACACCTGGATTGGCATGACTGTCTCCTTAATAGTTAAGCACTGAACAAGACACTTAATATTAGGGTGTCTACTTTAACCTAACAATAGCCTCCTGAAGTGGGAATCGTCTTTCTTGTTCTGGAGACAGGGTAAGAAAATTCAGGAGCCACCTGTGCCCACAGCTGTATGACAACTAGTGTTCTCTCCATTCCAAAAGTGCAAAGGGATCTAACTACACTCACGACTCTTAAGTAATTGAAGCCTAAACCTGTAATAAGCAATACAAGTCAAGAAGCGACAAAGAGGCTTGATAAATAAATGCTCATGAGGAGAACGTGCCCCACTGAGGGCTTCGAAGGACCAGAGCGAACAGCATCTGCTCCTCCTCCTATCGTGGGGAAGGTGTAGGGAAAGTGCCTGGCAGGCAAGGGGGGAAATTCATGCTCACTGCTACGGGGACTGGTTAATCTGCTGACGTGGGACTCAGGTACCTATTTGGATTCAGTTGTCAGAATGTTTCAGGGAGGGAAAGGAAGAGGCCTTTGAAAAAATGCATTAGCAAAGAAGAAAAAAGTAGGTACCTTTTCCTACATAGGGTCACTGCACACCCTATGAATGAGAAGTAGTTGACCTGAGAGAGGCTGACACTGGGGAAAACACTTTGGAGGAAGCTGCATGAAGGTCAGTTATTTAAAGTTAATTAGGTTTTCTATCACCCATGCCAGTAACCTATAACCAATATGAATTGGTTTAATATATGTTATTAAATTCTTCCTTTTCTTAAACAAATGATAATTCTCATTTGCTCTGCAATTAAAATAAGCAACATTTTTAGCATTATTCAGGTTTAAAGAAGTGTTCTGTATTACATAATTCTTTTCGTACTTTCAGCCAGTGAAATCAAATTAACTGAAATTAGATCCACTGCCAACTGAAAAAATTCTCCAAATTAGTTTTGACTTCACCCTGTTGTTGTGAGTTAATGCATGTACAGTGCCTAGCTCACGGTGACATCCTTAATTAATGATAACCACATTTTAACATTTTCAAGTCACACATATTAAAAGGCTTCCTAATGTCAATGGATGTTATGGGCTGAATTGTGTTCCCCAGAACTGATATGCAGAAGCCCTAACTCCCAGTATCTTAGAACATGACTTATTGGAGAAATGGTCTTTAAAGTGGTAATTAAGGTGAAATGAGCTCCTGCTGTTGGGCCCTCACCCAGTACGACTGGTGTCCTTACAAGAAGAGGAAATCTGGACATACACATGCCTGTACACAGAGGAAAGACCGTGTGAGGACACAGCACCAGGGTGGTGTCTGCAAGTCAAGGACAGAGGCCCTAGGAGAACCCGACCTGCTATTCCCTTGAGCTTGGACTTCCAGCCTCCAGAGGCGGGAGAAAACAAGCTTCTGGCGTGTAGACCAACCAGTCTGCAGTCCCATGCAATGGGGAATGGGTGCATGGACTCCATGTATTAACCACTTAGGACTTCGATGCCACTTGGAGTGTCATCTCAAGTTTGACAAGAGTCACCTCTGCCCTGGAGAAACTGCTGAGACTCTCTTAAGAGGACCTTTTCTTACAGACACATGGAAATGAATGAAAAAAAAATAAGTTTAAAATTGCTATGTTATAGGATCCTAGTTATAGGACTAATATATACTCGTAAGTTAAATTGTGTTTATTTATAATTATAGCATTTCAAAAAATTTTAGGAAGGACTATGACAAAAATGGGTGTACAAAAAATTTGCTTAAAAATAAAAAGGAGAGTGGATAGAAGCCACTTTGGAGGGAGAAAGAAACATCCAAGGGACATGGTTTAATATTAAAGTCCTGAAAATTAGATTTAAAATTTAATTATGAAGATGAGGAATACAAGGCAATCCACATAGACATTTAACTCTTGTGAGAAGAAATATATTAGTTTACTGGAACAAAAATGTTCCCATTATTAAAGAATTTTCCAAATGGATGGCAGGTAGAGAACTCCGAGTTAACATAATGAATGAGATTTTCAACTTTTATTTTCCAAAACATAAAAGTTTCATCATTTTTAATATATGGATTTTTAAGAAAAAGTGATAAATTTATTTTAAATTAAAATACATCCTTAGCAGTGAAACCATTCTGCGCGATACTGTAACGTGGATCCATGACATTATGCATCTGTCAAAACTCATGGAAGAGCACAACATAGAGTAAATCCTAATGTAAGCTATGGACTTTAGTTATGGACAGTGTATCATTACTGATTTTAACAAATGTGCCACAGTAATGCCAGATGTTAATAATAGAGAAATCTTCAAGGGGATGGGCGGTATGGATCTCACTGTACTCTGAGATCCATTCTTTTGTAAACCTAAAACTGGTCTATAAATAAAGTCTATTCTCACAGATTCCAAGAAAGGACTAGTGGTTACCAAAGGGAAGAGGGTGGGAGGGAGAAGGGGATTAAGGGGTATTATAATTAGCACACACAATATAGGTAGGTCACAGGGAAGGCAGTACAGCATGGAGAAACCAAGTGATGACTCTACAGCATCTTACAATGCGGATGGACAGTGACTGCAATGGGATGTGGGGGAGACTTTATAATATGGGTGAATGTTGGAACCACAATGTTGCTCATGTGAAACCTTCATAAGATTGTATGTCAATGATACCTTAATAAATACATTAAAAAAAATGAAGTCTTGATAAAAAAGTTTCCTTACATGTTATGGTCTAATCTGCTGTATTATTAAGTATTTGAAAGGGATGTTTAGTTGCCAATATCCTAGTCCCTTGCAAACATGAGTTCCAGTGAATTGCCTTAAGGTAGTATTAGTTGGAACTATATAATCTGCCTGAATCTGTAACTTTGCATAAATACTCTAGATATGGAGACAGTGAGACAAGTGTTTCACGGAAGTCATTATTTTATCAGATATGTAATAACGTTGAAATTCTACTATTTAAAAAATAATCAATGACCTTAACTTGAAATATTTTTCTGAAAGAACAATTTTTCTTATGTCAAATATCAATTTTGCTTAAGTGTTCAGATAACTCAAAGTAGAACCCCAAAGTTTTATAACACTGGAGAAAAGGAAATAAATAATTTTCCTTAGACGACTGAAAAATAAGGCTTGATCCACTGGATTATTCAAATTTTAAACTTCTCCATGCACAATTAAATGTCTGTGGTGAAAAACACCATAATATTAAACACGAAATTTATTATTACAGCTATTGGATAGTTTACATATATAATATGTAGTTATTGTGTTTTAGCCTACATAAAACTTTGTTAATATGGTTAATACAAAGTTAAACATCAGGCAAATAATTATTTTAAAGTATTTTTTGACTCTTAAAGCAATATTTAAAATTAATTTTAACTGTGAAATCATAATATACTTATAAAATAGTAACAGGAAACCACAGATCTTAATATATATTAAATTTATTGGCTGTTAATAGCACCACATAAACCATATGAACGAAAATATGCAAAATACTCACATGTTTATAATTTTTGCTCAAGTAAAACATCACACCATATTTAGAAACAATTATAAAAGAACACAATAAA